TGATACTCTTCATTTGTGATTCTTGATTCTAAATTATCAAATTTGTAAGGATGCACAGTTTGATCTAGAAAACTATGTAATGAATAACATCTTTTCTGGGTATGACCAAATTTCTTACAGTATGAGCATTGCACATACCCACTTCGACTACCATGGCCTCCTCGATTAGCTCCTCTCCTTGAAGTGGCAGATAAGGAGAAATTAATTTTAGTAAAGGATGCCATTCTAAATCTGTGAGAAGAAACAGAACTTAGGATCCAAAACAGAGACAATGTCTTATGACTATGGGAAATCAGAATCCCTGTCTAACCATACTAAGAAATGAAGCTTATCAACAGTAGACTGCCAAATCTGGTATTAATGAGGAAGAAGGCCCAATATGGAACTGAAATTTGGTTCCACAAGTAATGAAGGCTAACAGCGTTGAGGAAGACAAACAGCTTGAGGGAGAAAACCCTAGGTGCAAACTAGAGCCACCAAAACAGCGAAGCAAGGGCCGAAACAGGCTTAGGAAGCTCCGGCGAAACGATCTGCATTGGCGTGTTGTCGATCTGACACCGAGAAGGCGGCGCGTGAGGAACACGTGCCGGAGACTTGCTGGAGAGAAGCGGCGCGTGGAGGGGCGTGCGGAGGTTTCTGAGGAGGTGACCACCAGGGTTGGGTCACGCTTCTCAGGGCGAGCCTAACCCTTAACTTTGCCTGACAAACGGCGACGGAGGACGACGGCGGACGGCGGCAACGGCGACGGCGACGGCGGAGGGGAGGCGACCACCAGGGTTGGGTCGCTCTTCTCAGGGCGAACCTAACCCTTAACTTTGCCTGACAAAAGGCGACGGAGGACAACGGCGACGGCGACGGCGGAAAGTGACAGGGACAGCAGTGGCACACTGGGTCTGGCTCTTGATACCATGTTAGAGAACTAACTGAAACATTTTATTCATTCATTCACTCTTACAAGGTTTTGGTATTCTATATATATATATAGAATACCATGACAGAATACAATCCACCTCTTAAGTTGGGTGCGCACACACAAAAACAACATAAACTTAATACATTTCATAAGTTATATTACATCAGTCTACTTGTCCACACACCATAACAAAATGGTATAGTAGAAAGGAAAAATAGACACTTGGCTGAAATTGCTTGTACCCTATTACATGGTGTCAATATTCCTATCTATCATTGGAAGATGTCATCCTAAATGCATGTTTTCTTATCAATCGAATGTCATACTCTTCACTTAATAATAATGTTGTTTGTTGCATTCTCTTTCCAAATGATCCTCCTTTTCAAGTTTCTCGTATTTGGTTGTATGTTTTGTTCATGAAATGTCTCTAGGGTTAGATAAACTTTCTGCTTGTGCTATTGTGTTCATGGGTTATTCTTGACTTCAAAAAGGGTATCAATGTTATCCTTACTAATGTTACCTTTTTTGAACAAACTCCTTACTTACTCTCCACATAACTTCCAATCCAGTATTCCACGAGAGAACTAAACACAAAAATTAACTATCATTTTATTCGAGAAAAATTGTTGTCTAAAGAAGTTTGTACGAAGTTTGTCAGATCAAACGATCAACTTGCACATATGTTAACCAAGTCCCTAAGGAGACCTAGGATTTAATTTATTTATTCCAAGCTTCGTACGTACATACTCCAGCTTGAGAGAGTGTTAGAATAAGAAAATGCTAGTTGTAGGTTAATGCTAGTTGTATGTTAATTATTGCTAGTTGTGTGAGTTAGATGCTTTAGTGGCTTTTCAATTCATAGAGAGTTGTCATTCTATATTTACACGGGTAGAGGAAGGGTGTGAATTATCCCCTCAAAAACATATTTTTCTGTTTAATATTAAGTACTCCTAATAAGAAAATAGCTAAAAGAAAATAGGAAAACAAAGTAGAACATAG